GTGTACATCACCAGTCTATTGCTGCCTTGAGGGTTTGAGGAACTTGGTCTGTGGTCAACAAGCCCTCCAGAAATGCCTGACCTAAACTACATTACAGACCTAATTCCCACAGCTGGCAAGTGAGATCAGAAAACAGCAGCATGACAGCCATGTGGTGGAAGCTGCTGTGGGCAGGTGTCTGCAAGGAGCGGCTCTGTAAATGGCCAGAACGAGCTCTCTGTGACATGGTTGCACGAAGTGAGGAGGTAGAGGGCATGGGAGAATTGTACAGGGCTGGAAAAGAGTCGTTTTAATTCTAAAATGACAAAGCTAGTTCCAGTGCCAGAGGATCAAAGTAGGTGCTCATCATTCCACTGGAAAGGGCCTTTACACAGGGCTCGGTAGATATCATTGTCCTAGGTCACTAAACTTATTTTGTTGTAAGTGAATGACTTAAATTACAGAAATTTATTTTCTCACAGTTCTTAAAGATGGAAGTTGAAGATCAAGGTGCTAGCAAGTGTGGCTTGTGTTGAAGGCTCTCTGTGTGGCTCATAGACTGCTGCTTTCTGGGTTCTCATATGGGAACTAGGGAACGTGGGGCTGAGGGGGGAGAAAGAGAGAGAGAGAGAATGGGAATGAGAATGCCCTGGCTCTCTGGTGTCTCTCCTGGTAATCACATCATGACTATCTCACCCTCATAACCCCATCTAAACCCAGTCATCTTCCAAAGGATACATCTCCAAATACCATCACACTGGAGGTTAGGGCCTCAACATAGGAAATTTTTTGTGGAAGGAGGATGACACAATTCAGTCAATAGCAACTGTCAACCTTGATCATGTCACCATGAGAGTCATGTATGATATTCTGTTTCTCTTCTCAGACAGTATCTATACTTGGCATGTCCCTGAAATTGTTCTGGTAGTGTAAGTGGGCTGCCCAAAGTCTTTCTTAATAAATAGTGTTTTCACCTTAATTCTAAATGTGTTGTGTTCTATAACAGAAACTTCTCTTTCTTCAATTCTTCCATGGATATAGAGGGTTTTTATTTCATTTTTTTTTCTGTTTTTTTTTTTTGTCAAACAACATAATGTGTCATTTGCTCACATTGTGAGGATATCACAATCATTCATTCCTTTGGTCTCATTCATTCCAAAGTCCACTTTCTAATCTATGTGGTAAAGAGAGAGTTTGTCTCCAGTGTTGCTCATATTCTATCACTTCCCTGAATACCCTGCACTCCCAGATCCACCCCTCGGGAATCCTGACTACACTCTCACCCCCGTGCTGCTCCCTACAAGGAGACTCAGTAGGTGGTTGAATTCTTATCCTGTAATACCTCTCCATAGTCTGTGTTGAAGTTTGAGATTTTTGTGACAAGTCAAAGAAAATAAAAGTGAATTATAGTTTAAGAAGTAGAAAAATGAAAATCCCATTCTAAGTGCATGTGTTCTCATATAAGGAAGCTATCCATCTCATGGACACACCCAAATTCCTAGCCTCAGTGTAACCCCCCAGTCATACAGCACTTTCCTACCCAGACTCCTTAAGCTCCCTTTCCTCAAAGCATTCCCTCAACCCCACACAATTCAAACCCTGGTACCCAATATTTGTAGCAAATATTTTCTCAGAGCCTGAGTTACTTAATTATGAGCAATTTCCTCCAGTTGAGGATGTGAGGATGGCCGGAAACAAGCTGCAGAAGAATAGCTGGGGTGAGCTTTTGTTCTTCCAAGTCCTGACTATTAGAATTCTTCCTGCACCAAGTCCACCTTGTTCATTGATTTATAGTTTTACTTTGAAATATTAGGGCTCAGATTTTTCTTTTTTTTTTTCCATTTTTGGCCAGGGCTGGGTTTGAACCCGCCACTGCTGGTATATGGGGCCAGCACCCTACTCCTTGAGCCACAGGCACCACCCCCAAGGGCTCAGATTTTTATATGTAATCAGATGACTTATTTAAATCATATGAAAATTAATATACTCAATAGATTTCAAAAACCGGTAAAATTTATGTCAAGTTGGATGGTACAGGGAGGCTATATTGGGTTCTTGGGGTCCCTCTGAAGAACGACTGATTGGGTATTTTTCACTCCATAATGTCTCCAGGCTTTTCACTTTGGTCTCTGAAAGACTTCACTGCTAAAGATTTCAGGAAAATGACATATGGTTTTTCCTAGTATGGGTTAAAGGAATAGTCTACAGACATTAGCAACCTTTTCTTCAAAAAGAAGCAGCAAGCAAAATCATGACCAGAGTATTTGATTGGTTCCCTTCCCTTATGCCTCAGGCAAGATTGATGCATAGGGGAACTTACCCTTTTTTATTTTTATTTTTTTAAACTTTTATTTATTTATTTAGAGACAGAGTCTCACTCTGTCAGCCTGGGTAGAATGCTGTGGTGTCAGCCTAGCTCACAGTAACCTCAAATTCTTGGGCTCAAGAGATACTCTTTCCTCAGCCTCCATTTAGCTGGGACTATAGGTGCCTGCCATGAGGCTCAGCTAGGTTTTATTTGTTTATTTATTTTCTATTTTTAGGAGAGATAAGGGGCTATCTCTATATAGGGTCATTCTTCCTCAGTCTGGTCTCAAAATCTTGAGCTTAATCATTCCACCTGCCTATTCTTGTCTGAATGCTAGGAGTATAGGCGTGAGCCACTGTGCCCCATCCAGTAACCTAGCCTTAAGCATTTTCCTCTCCTTTAGTAAGTTTTAGAAGAACTCTTATATCATAAGCTATGCCAATTGAGTAAAACAAAGAAGAATTCAAATGTTTCCTGATTTGGGCCTCGTGACCCCCCTTTTCAGGCTGCAAATTATAGAGGAGCCTGTTATTTCATTACAGGTTTATAACCCTAAGCTGTTCTGTCAGCTTACACTGTGTGCTACCTTCTACTGTAAGTAAATACATTGTGCCACATCACATCATAACGATAATCACTGTAATCATATATCAACACAATGAGATAAAGAGGTAATAACAAGACACAGGTAACTTCCTTGCATGCTAAACAATTCATTTCAGACACAGACATTTGCCAGCCTGTTCCACCCTACTCTATAGTATCAGAAGTTTGTGTTCTGTCAAAAAAGGTGGGGCTTCCAGCAGGCCGTGGGATGTGTTGGTGGGTACACATATCTGTTGTGAGTTTTCAGAAGTTCTTCTTGAAGCTTAAATATCGCCCCCTGAGTTACTCTTTTTTAAAACTCTCCAGGGCATTCTGCTTTGTCAGTAGAACCTACCTAATAAATTCATTCCAGGATAGCATTTGGGATATCATAAGAGATCTTGTGAGCAAAAACAGACAAATACACCATAATCAACAATACCTGGAGATTTAGAGATTAACTTGTCTAGCCTCATAAGATTTTCACATCAATTTCTCTGAAATATCAGACCCATCCATATAAGAAGCTATTTATTTGAACCAAGACAGAGATTAAGTCTAGCAGGCTGGGGAATTTTTATCCTAAGTGAAAGCAAGATGAGATTGTGTGTAATAGCCACGTCAGTAAAAGGGCTTAGTCTCTATGGTAGTTTTGTGACTGTTTGTGTTATTAACAGACATTCTCGCTTTCTCTCCCCTCTTTTCTTTCTTACTTAATTCCTGCAGGTTAATTTTTTTATGGAATTTTTGATTGCTTTTATCCAGCATGTTTCATTTGAAAACTTCTATCTAGATATTCTAAGGCAGAAGGGTGAATAGTCCTGATTTCAATGGATTTATCAGTGTTGGATGATTGGTGTTAGTTTGAGGATAAGAATTATTATCCTCCCACCAACACATTTTTCTATATACGAGAAATGGTTCACCCTTTCGTTGATTTTTATTCTAAGCCTCAAGCCAGAAATGAAGGCGACTACCCCTTTGGCCAAAAGTTTAGAGCAGTCGACCCAAGTGAAAATCATTTTTGGAAGTTTTTCTCTTATACTCATCTATTTTACTATTTCTTTTTCTTTTTTTCAGTATCGACCAAACCAAGACCTCACAGTGATGAATATTCCAAGAAGATTCCTCCTCCCAAACCGAAGCGGAACCCCAACACTCAGCTGAGCACGTCCTTCGATGAAACCTACGTGACAAAGCACGGGCCCCGGAGGACGTCTCTGACCCGGGACTCCTCCCTGTCGCAGGGGGGTAGCCCCGCGGGAGACCCCGAGGAAGAGGAGCCCGTGTACATCGAGATGGTGGGGAACATCCTCAGAGACTTCAGGAAGGAGGACGACGACCAGAGCGAGGCCGTCTACGAGGAAATGAAGTACCCCATCTTTGACGACTTAGGCCAAGATCCCAAATGTGACTTTGACCATCACAGTTGCTCTTCGCAGTGTGCTACGCCCACGGTGCCTGACTTGGACTTCGCCAAGTCCTCAGTGCCATGCACTCCTAAGGGACTGCTTTGCGACATCCCTCCGCCGTTCCCCAACCTCCTTTCCCACAGACCCCCACTGCTGGTGTTCCCACCAGCCCCCGTGCATTGCTCCCCCAATTCTGACGAGTCCCCGCTGACCCCCCTGGAGGTCACGAAGCTCCCGGTGTTGGAAAACGTGTCTTACATGAAGCAGCCGGCCGGAGCGTCCCCGTCTCCGTCCTCTCTGCCGTCTCACACCCCTGGCCACGCGAAGCTGGACAAAGACCAGCCCGGAGCCCTGGGACCCGCTTCTGCGGCCTCCGTGCTGTCCTCGTCCCCACCGCCCCCCTCCACTCTATACCGAACCCAGTCTCCCCACGGCTACCCCAAAAGTCATTCCGCCTCCCCCTCCCCGGTGAGCATGGGGAGGTCCCTGACCCCCCTGAGCCTCAAAAGGCCTCCCCCGTACGACGCCGTGCATTCGGGCAGCCTGTCCAGGAGCTCTCCGCCAGTGCCTCACTCCGCCCCCAGGCCCGTGTCGCAGGACGGGGCGAAGATGGTCAACGCCGCGGTGAACACGTACGGGCCAGGGGCCCCGGGCGGCTCTCGCTCCAGGACGCCCACCAGCCCCCTGGAGGAGCTGACCAGCCTCTTTACCTCAGGACGCAGCCTGCTGAGGAAGTCGTCCGGCGGCCGGCGCTCTAAGGAACCCGCGGAGAGTGAGTCCAGGCTGGGCCGGGAGCCCGGGGCGGGCCGGTTAGGGGCGCGGGAGGACCGGGCCGGGTCTTCAGGCCTTGGGCCTGCCGAGCGCGTGATTTCCCTTTTGCCTTCCTGACCCAAGTAGTGAGTTCTGAATGTGAGCTGAAAGAATTTAAAACGGCAATCTTCACAATAGAACATTTCCTAAGTTGTTTTTTTTTTTTTAAGTGTACAATCTGAATTTTTACACAAGTCTATCAGAGGTTGCTATGGAATTTTGAGGTAAATTCCTTGATTTGCAGAGGGAAAACGAAACATTCAAAAAAGAGGATTGTTGAATTTTAAAACTTCTCTTTACCTTCTATTAAAACACTGCTTGAGGAAAAAAATTGGTACGAGAAAACTTGGTGGGAAAGAAAGCAATTTAAATAGGAATTAGGACTTTTTAAAGGTAACAAATGATTCTTTCTGCATTCTTCCTATTGTTATATTTTTACCGTCGTTGTCCACTATAATAGACTCACTGCTTTCCTTTTAAAAACCATGGTAATTCATATCTTATTTCTATGGTACTTTTCCTAGATCCATTGATACACAGTTTACAGAAAATCGCCAAGGTGGTGAGCATTACTTTTACTACTGAATTTTAAAGACCAAGAAATGTCTCTATCGGAATGACTAGCCCTTTTAGGAGTCCTGAATCACTTCACAAATGTATAATGAAGGCAAAACATATCCAGATTAGTTTTTCCAGGTCCATTTCATTAAATTACACTACGGTCCTTTCCATTATTTAAAAAAGCCTTGGGCACCTAAATGGGTAATTAATCATTTACATCTCAGATAATCCCGCTGCAAGACTGTGTTATTTATCTATTTCTACAGTTATACTGAGGACTTCTCTTGGAGGAAAAGAAATCCTCAGTGCTTTTGTTGCTGGAGATGATGATGACATTTCTTAGATAATGACTATTCCTTGGTGGTTACAAACCATTAATTCTGTCTTTTCCCCTCCTTAACCAAGAGATATTTATGAAAATATTAGCTACTTAAATAATTCTCCTGAAACATTTCATTTACCTAACGAGAAGGCACCAATTTCTAATACGTTAGTTATGTCTGGAGTTACATACGTAACATAAAATTATTTTTAAAATTATTTTCAGAATTGAATTAAAAATTAGGAACAACCTATGTCTAGAGCAGCTGCTCTCAACTAGGGCACTGTTGCCCCCAGGGACGTTTGGCAATGTCTGGAGACATTACTGGTTGTCACAACTGGGGGTGCTCCTGACATCTTTTGGGTAGAGGCCAGGGGTGCTGCTTAATAACATAAATGGACAAGACAGCCCAACACTAATTTTAAAAAAGAAAAAAAAAGATTATTTAGCTTATGATGTCAGTATTACTAAGGAAACCCTGGTCTAGATGATTCATTAAAGTTTAAAGTTGTTGCCAGATGATTGATTGGTTGATCAAGTAAAGTATTTAGAATGAGAGAAAAAAATTAAAAATAAATATTTTACTTGTAAAATACAGAGTGTTTAGTGTGAAAATAGTAGAAGTTTTATCTTGGAATTGGTGAGCTGATTGATTTTCTGCCTACCTATCAGCTTCTT